ATAGGGTTAGGGTTTAGGGGTTTAGGGTTTAGGGTTCGGCTGCAAGGCTCATTTGGCCAATCGGGGCAGGCCCGAACTCAACAAGAGCGTGGCTTAAGCCGGTGATTACGGGGAGTGTGGGGGGCAACTTGCGCAAAGCAGAAGCCAGTGCCTAGTGCCAACAAGAGAAGTGTCCGAAATCACTGATACGAGTGTAGTTTATCATCTTTTCTTCAGAGGATTCATTTGGGAATGCCAAGTCACAGTCTTATCTTGGGTGTACAGTGAAAATTACATGCTCAGCGCTACGTAAGTTAGGGGTTTTGGAGATAATTGTTTCAGTACACTTGTGTCTCCTGCAATGGACGTATCTCTTTGGGGATATTCAACCAGACCCTAACCCTACGGCGACACCCCTTAAAGCGTAGAATTAGGTACCGTCCACGTAGTATGTACACAGATATAGGGGCCTCAATAATTGGAATAGGGTCTGAATAGGGTTTTGGGGCTCCTGATTATGATTATACTCATAATATACCTCCAAACCCTATTCTAATTATTAAGGCCCCTACATTAGGCTTTAAAGATGGTATGTAGCTGCTTTCGCTTCATGGACACCTGGACAGCAAAACCCTGAAGCCTGAGCCCTGAACCCTAAACCCCTAAGCCTAAACCCTAAACCTTAAACCCTACCTAGCCCCTAAAGAACCTACCTTTTTAGGGCTCCTTATTATAGTTTCGATATATAAGTCCTTAAAAAGGTAGGTTCTTTCAAGGGTTAAGGTAAACCTTAAACCCCTAAGCCCCTCAACACTACATCTTGAATCACGACATAGCGGGCTCAGGTATCACCCAGTCTACCGGGACATTCTTTACGCTCGCACCTGGGCTTCACAAAGGATGAAGGGCCCGTCGTGGGCTTAGCGTTCGGAGCCAGGAAGTGGTTTAGGGTTTAGGGTGTTGTGGTTTAGGGTTGGGGTCTTACGGTTTAGATTTTTGTGGTTTTGGGGTTTCAAGTTTCAAACTAATCATTGGGCTAAATGGCAAGGCTGTCCAACAGCTCGCCTTGAGTTGCTGCAACAAAGAATCCCCAGTAAATACGATGGTGGCATCTATGGGTTTGGGTGAAATGTGAGTGGATGTGAGGGATTTAGGGGCTTGCTGGTCGGGATATAGAAGTTGTTTTTGTCGGGGTTTAGGGTTCAGGGTTGGGATACACCACAGCCTAGACACCAGTGTGCTTCGGTGTTAGAGCTCTCGGGTTCAACATCCTCTTCTTAGCAGTAGAGTAACTGAGTACCCAAACCTTCCAAAGTCCCTAAATCACGGAATATGCCCTCAGCTACAGTAGGATCCCTAGTATGATATAAAGGTGGATTCCTTAATGAAGGCATTTGGGCAGGTCGGGGCAGATGGCCTTTTAAATTGTTTGTGTGGTATTATCATCTTTATATCAGCAAGTACAAACCCAAACGTTGACTTTTAGTTCCTCTAGAGGAACTAGGTCATCATGAACGCTGTTACTAATATAGGGGCGTTAATAAATACCTGTACTACGTGGGGTTCTTTAGTATAACCTAAGTACAATATCCCACAAACCCTATCCTAATTATTGAGGCCCCTGCATTACGGTGCCGGGGGCAGTTATCCCTAAACCCTAAACCCTAAACCCTAAACCGTCGTGGTTGGGTTTCTCATGTCCCTGCTCACTGACAGCTATTTCTGCCCCTACGGTTTAGGGTTTAGGGTTTAGGGTTAGGGTTTAGAGTTTAGGAGCCTGAACAACTAGCAACCAGCAGTGTTGTTCTTCGTGGTGCCTATATATATTCTACTTCTATTTAAAGCTCCTAAACCCTAAGCGCTAAACCCCTAACCCCCCAATAATACCTAAACGCGAGAAGCCCGCAGATGGGTTTGGGAAGTCAGGGCTAGGGCTCAGGATTTTCGTTGCAGGATTCGGGGTGCTTCTACTATAAGGGCTTCAACAATTACCTGCATTCTTTTGATAATTATATAGTATAAAGGACACCAAAACCCTATTCTAATCATTAAGGCTCATTAAGGCCACCACATTGGACCAGGAAATTACTACGACATCTTCTTTTTCGACCTCCGCGGGAACTTGATTTATTCTGCGGCACAGCTGAAGCACCGGGTGTGGGTCTAGGGTTTAGGGGTTTAGGGTTTAACTCTTTAAAATCCTAGACCTAGTCCTCAAGATCCCTAAGCCCTAGCCGGAACCCTCATGCGCCGAAAAAGGGGGGTAGGTGAACTAGGATCCAGGTAAATAGGGGCCTAAGTAACTACTTATACTATTTTTGGGGGGTTCCTTCTTATAGATGTAGTATAATGTATAATGGGCCCCAAAACCTTCTTCTAATCATGAAGGCCCCTATATTAACCTGCTTCTTTGCCTGGGTCCGCCGCAAGTCTGTACCATTGGTGTTCATTTTACGACGCCACGACAAGCATATTGGCTGTTGCCGTTCAAGGTGCGCTCGCACAACTACCGAAATCCACAAGCCTGAGATTAAACCCTAAACCCTAAACCGTAAACATGAAGTCTTGCATTAGGAGTCTGAACATATCGTAACATATGAGTCCCGAGAGCCTTAGGTTCTGTACATGCTGCTCTAGAAGTTGTGAGGAACCGTGAACTTGTAAAAGAAATGGGTTAATTACTGAAGTTTAGTAAATTCCGACAGGGCTGATCAGGGAAAGAGTTGGTTTAGTTCTGTCTCTGGCGACCTACCCTAAACTACCCTAAACTGGGGGTTCTTGTTGTGTGGTCTGCTTGGGAAAAGCTTCTTTCTGCCTCTATTAAACGGAGTTTGGGAAGCGGGTTTAGGGTTTTTTGCTTCATGGCGCCCAATTGCACATCAGAAAGTTACAGTTTAACAGCAACAGGCGTCCCGATTGCAAATTAGAGATTCTATTGTGAAGACTTTATGCCCTATTTTTTTAGGGCTTCGCCCGTGTGCGCCAGCGCATTNNTTTTGGCTTCCGAATCGAAAATTGATCGTATGATGTTGGTGAGGGAGTCCTGCATCAAGGTACGCGGGCCCCTGCGCGATTTGCCCCTTAACTGCCTCGGCTTGGACTTGACGCATTGCACCCAGCGTATCATGGAGGCGCCGCGGCTTACGTCCGCACTGGCCAGTATGCTTCTTCGCATGCGCATCTCCCTTCAGCGTGAGGCTGCTAGCCGGCAGCAGCTCGAGGAGCTCTACGCCAAGCTGCGGGATAAGTGCAAGGACGCTGCTGTAGATGCTATTTGCTCGCAGCCCTTCGAGATTGAAACAGCAAGCCCAGCCGAGCCTGTGGATGAGGTGCCCCAGAGCCAGAAGCCCGCGGTACAGAGGAGCGATGAGTGGCTGGAATGCCGCGTGGGTGTCGACAACATCGATGTTGTCGTCGACGACTCCTCCAGTCCAACTCCCTTAGCGGACTTGGAGATCACCCTGGAAGGGCATGGCGCTCACCACATATCCAGAGGCACGCGAGAATCCTTGCGGAGAGGAGCAGCAAAGGCGTGGGGCTCGTACCAGGGACCGCGAAAGAAGCCGAAGTGTCTGAAGCCAATTTGTGCCTGCTGAAGCCAACTTTCTGAAGCCAATTTACAAACCTGAGCCTAAAAAAAATTCACTATTCAGAAGGCTTAATTTTGGCTGCAGAACGCCAAGGCCCAAATTGGTTTCAAACAACCCAAATGGGCCCAAACTCCAGATTGGCTTCAGAAGGCTCAAATTGGCTCGAATTGGCTTCAGAAGGCTCAAATTTGCCAGGAAGCTTAAATTTTGCTTCAGAAAGCTTTTGCTTCAGGAGGCTATAACTGCAAATTGGCTCCAGAAGGCTCAACGTGGCTTCAGCGCAAATTTGTTTACATTGGCTTCAGAAGGCACAAATTGGCTTCAGAAGGCCAAAATTGTTGGTTTCAGAAGGCCAAAGTTATTGGCTTCAGAGGGCACAGAGAAGCTTCAGAAGGCTTAAACTTGGCTTCAGACAAGCAGGCTTCAGAAAGCCTAAATTGGTTTTTCCCGACTGGCTAACTTTTGTGATTTTTGACCATAGTTTGCTCTCATGGACCCTCAACCAAGGCCAAAAAAACGCATTTTTTCTCAGCGATGGGGGCTCGGGGCGCGGCCTTATAAGAAAAAAAATGCAAAAGAGATGATTTTCTTTTGGCGCTAGCCGCGCTGGCGAACCCTGGACCCTAAACCCTAAACCCTAAACCCTACACCCCACCACCGATGAGCGCCGTCCCAGGGGGACTAGAAGCCGCAAACCAGAAGGCTTCAAATAGGAAGACTGAGTGCAACATAGCCGGAGAGTTTAGGGTTTAGGGTTTAGGGTTTATGGGAGCATGAGCTAGCTGGACGAATGCCTCCCGTCGGTATTGTCATGGCATCGGCGTTCAGTCTTGGGTCATTGAAGCACAGGCCCTCAACCCTAAACCCGTAATTGGCGGTAGTCAAGGGCCGGCTTGATCGACCAACATAGCATCCGACACGCTTGACCACGAGCCCTGGCTTTTCGATGCCACGAGGGAAAATATCGCTACCTCACTCACTCACTCACTCACCGCGCCTTGGAAGATGCGCCCAAGCTCCACGGCGTGCAAGCACAGCTCGGCCCTTCCAGAACCTTCGTGAACCACAGGTAGCCGTGCACAAGCGCCGCTCCGGCGCTGCACGGAGCGACGAGCGGTGGGCAAGGTCACCCAGCGCCTGTGGATCCAGCGCATTCGACAGTTGCATCACCGGCAAGCAAAAACTCTGCGCAAAGCTGCCATGTTACCCGAAAAGTCAAAGTTGCAAACTCCAAGTCTTGAAGCCACAAAACCCGCAACCTTGTAGCCTTTCAGCACAAAAGCCATGCTACTTAAACCCATGAAGACGTGATCTTCCGAAGAGGGTAGTTCTCTAAATTAGGGTCCTTTTTAAGGTCCCCATTACAGTACGGCACCCTTATAAAAAGGGAGCCCAACAGGGACCCTAATTTAGATACCTACCCAAGATGAGGTGTACAAAGAGCTCGACTATGCCACGAATTTTGCCGCGAATGGCACTGGCGAGTGGAAAGACTCCGGCCTCGGTGAGGCGAACTTGATGAGTCTTAAGGTTTAGGGTTTAGGGTTTCTTATCACATGTTGTTTAGGGTTTAGGGTTTCTTATCACATGTTGTTTAGGGTTTAAGGTTTCTTATCACATGTTGTCTAGGGTTTAAGGTTCCTTATCACATGTTGTTTAGGGTTTAAGGTTTCTTATCATATTTTGTTTAGGGTTTAGGGTTTCTTATCATCTTTTGTTTAGGGTTCCGGATTTAGGGCTGAGGGTACCCTACACCCTAAATCGTAAATGTCATGGCTACTTTGACTCTAAGGACGCTTGAATGTCTTTTGGATACCGGATAGTTGACGTATTGAAGTTCATTTCTTCCCCCCAATATTAAACGGCCCCCCCAATAACAACTCGGCAAGTATGTGGACTAGGGGGTATGTTTCTTTCTGCTGCCACTTTGAGGGGCCGTGGTCTTGCTCCTGCTCTGGCTCTTGCTCCCGCGCTGGCTTTTGCTCCTGCTTCTGCTTTTGTTGAGCTGCTCTTGCTCTTACTCCCGATCTTGCTTTTGCTTTGTCCTTGCTGGTGCTCCCGCTTTGGCTTTTGCTCTTGCTCTAACTCCTGCTCTTGCTTTCGCTCTTATTGTGCTCTCACGGTATTTGCAGCCTCGAAACCCTCCCGCTTAATTCAGAATAGGTTTTAAAGGTCAGGGATGATTTATGTTTTGATTGTTAGCGGGGTGTTTAATAAAAAGGGGGAAGCGATTACAGCGAATGAGAGCTGCGCTGGCAGCCGGGCAGCGCATATGTAGACTTTGGGAAGTACCTCTGGAGTAATGACAAAGTATATACAGAGTTTACAAGTCCAAGCAGGAGCTTGTTGCTAAGTAGGGTTTAGATCTACGGGCTTTGGACAATCTTTGTTTCAGGTTTTTAGTCGGAGGTCAGATGTTCGTGGTCGGGGATTGTCAGTGTTAACAGTGTATGTTGAGTCTTCGGGCCTACAAGACACTTGTACGGCCAGCCAATATTTTTCGTTAGGGTTCCTTGTTATGGTTTTACTATATGGGTGTTGTCAAAATTATGGTCTCTTTTGGGTCCTTATTATAATACGGCACCTATTATTTAGGGTACCCCAAAAGGGACCATAATTTTGACAACTACCCATATGGGACCCGAAACCTTGTTCTATGTATTAAGGCCACTATATTGTGGCTAGAGCTGGTGCGACAAGCACTGACGGTATCGCCGATGATGGGGGGCAAGGTGGACCCTCAATCCCATTACCTTAAATAACCACTGTATAGTCGTTATATACCCCTTATATAGCTAGGTAGTCTCCATATTAACCCCAAGAACCTACCAGGGTCCCTACTAAGGGTCCCTCCTAAAGCCCTTAGAATGATGATAATCTCGACGAAGAGGTTTCTGGATAATGCCGGTGATCATGACGGGTACTGGAGATGGGTTTAGGGTTTTGGGTTTAGGGCTTAGGGTTAAGGGCATGTTGTGATTGGATGGTTCGGTGATACGCTGGGGCAGGGCTGATAGTCTTGCCCCGAAGGTGAGAGCACCCCCAATGCCAGATAATGTAGGCGCCTTAATAATTGCCTATACTATTTGTTGTTTGTTTTTTGGTTTAGGGTTTTAGGGTATAGGGTTTAGGGTTTAGGGGGGTTCTTGATTATAGATATAGTATGGTATACCCCCAAACCCTATTGAAACTATTAAGACCCCTACATTATCGAGCTACTTTGGGTTTTTGACGCGGGTACGTACACGGTGCAGGCTTTAAGGTTTAAGTACAGCTTCCCGACATTTGCTGCCATGAGTTCCTGAGATGTGCGAGAGGGTTTAAGACATAAGAAGATGCACATCGGCAGGCCTTCGAACCCTAAACCCTAAACCCTAAACCCTTCAGAAGATGCGCACCGGCAGGCCTTCGAAGCTGCGATGCGGAACCCAAACCAGATCAATGTCATCGACTGGAAGCCCTATGGGAGCCGCCCCCAGAGGTTTTGGTAGGGGGTTTACGGGTTTAGGGGTTTTGGGTTTAGGGGTTTAGGGTTTGGGGTTAAGGGGTTTACGATTTGGGGTGGAAACAGGGTCGCTTCCGACCCCCCAAAAGGTGTCACTTCCGATCCCCCACAACCCGGACAGCCCGGACAACCCGGACAACAGCCCGGACAGCCCGGACAGATAAACAACACAGCCCGGACAACCCCACAAACAGCC